TGTCTTTCGACATTCGAAGTCAATCGCTTCATTGGGTTGATCTACAATCTTCATAGTGCTGGACATCAAGTTGACTATGTCCACTCCGCAGACCGATGATCAGACTGAGCGCGTGAATCGCGTCGTTAAAGATGTTCTTCGCAGCGTCTGCGCTGAGACGCCGAAGCGCTGAAGCGATATGTTGCCACTCGTAGAGTTTGTTTCGAACAATGCAGTGCATTCATCTACCGGCTACACGCCGTTCTCCGTGAACTTGCTCGTTAGTCCTCGCGTCCCGCTGACGCCGCCATTCCATGGCTCAGAGCTTGGCGGGAGAGGAATAGTCGAGCGGCTAGCTGATGTCAGCCCCCTCACCGCGCGTCAAGAAGTCGGAGACTTCCTGTCTATCAGACTGAGTGTCTTACGACACGTTCGCGATGCGATTGCTGAAAGCCAAGACACGCAGATGGAATATGAAGACAAAAGAGGAAGAAAAACGGTGAAAACAAACATTGAGGTCGAGACCTGGTTTTATTAAATGCAAAAAACCTTCGTACACATGCAGTTTGTGCTGTCTTTAAGACGAAGCTCCCTCAACGGTTTATTGGACCTTTTAAGATTGTGGCCATGCGTGGCCTAGCGTATTCGCTGAACTTTCCGAGAAGGATGCGCACGCACCCAATGTTCGTTGTGGGCTTTCCTAAGCCAAACCGGGATCCGGCGCAAGTGAACGCGGAAGCGTTGGAGCCGGGGCAGCGCCCAAAGGCGCTCGGCCACCCATACGTAAGCCATCAACTGGTTCTGAGCGTGGAGTGCAACCAACTTCCGTTTTTAACGGCGCAAGGCGCTCCACCGTCGTACGAAGTGATGTATTCGCCTGCTCGACGGATAGGAGCCGCTCCAACAGAGCACGATAATTTTCAACGTGAGGAAGTCGGTGCACAAAGTGCCCCAGACTTTTGAGGTCTTCTGCACAGCGGTATATGACCTCGGACAGATGCTCGACAAAGTACCGTAACGACGGACCTAACCTCCAGCGTTCAAAGAGCATCGCGAGTCACCAGACGGCGATCGACCAAGTCGTCATTGCCCGCTGACTCTTCTCGTTGAGAATGTTGGCATCCTCTACCACATGGAACGCCTTGTGGGTCGACGACGTCATCGGGGTTTAACCCAACATCATGTGAAGTGGCGGGGATATCCAAACTCCGAGAACTCATGGAGTTTGAGGTGCCACTTAAGCAAGACTGCCCAGACGTCGTATACGCTTATGTCAGAGGGATCATGACGCTTCGCGTCGACGTGCGCACCGCGCTTCTCGGCAGTAGCCAGGGAAGTCGGAGGACCATGAGCTGAGCTAAGCTATGGCCCTGAGCTGGGTGGCCGTAGACTCACCCATGTGAGTAAACCACATAGCTCGCGGGAGCATTATGAATTGTTCCATATGTCGCAGGGCGACAATAAGTTGGCGTTACGCCTTGTGTTTGGCAAACTCAAATCTAAGATGGTGCTCAACGCGCACGTCCAATTCCTTGTGGCTTCGCTATAAGGTAGACAGCAAAGATGTTTTCGGTGCCGCTGCACACATCGCTCAAAGAGCTCTTCGTCATCTGCAGCGGTTTCGCCTGGGACCAGCGCCACAAGGCTGGCCCGCATTGCAGGAAACGGAGCACCTCCTTTTTGAGCTCGAAGTCGAGCGCGATACCAATCCATAGGAATCTGTTGGGGTATCAAAAAGCGAGCTCGGAGAGCTTTTCGTTGGTCAAGCTAAACTTGTGTAGTGGCCGGGGACTAGACTACGCAGACTCCTTACGATCGAGTGATCGCATCTTTCGCCTTAGTAGCGGGATTCGCCGAGTGGAAGCCGTATTCCACACAAGGGTCTAAGACTGAACGTGGATACGAGCGCAGGAGTACCGCCCTGTGAGCAGCCTCTAATTGCTGCTCTTGTGCCTCTTCGAGGCGATTGGCAAATATATCACTTTCCCCGGAAGCCGAAAGGCTTGTCGGGGAACGGACATGGTGCCCGCAAGGGTTGAGCTCGGCCCATGTCGCGCCGTTGGCACACTTCATCCTCCTCGTTATCTCATGCTGGAAAATGAGTGTCTGACTCGTATTCGACTTTCTCCAACTCCTCGACGAGGAAATCCGCGCCCAGGGCGGGCGCGTTGTGTTGCGCTCAGTTGTCGAGGGCTTGGGATGTGCTTCCCGTGAAGCCGCGGACGTACTGTCCGTAGATGCACCCTGTACAGAAGAAGAAGTACGACTTTGCTCGCGGGCTCCATCGCTACCTGCTAGGCTGGGTGTTTTGCGTGTCGTAGACACAGGGCTCATAAAGCGGAGAAGGTTCAAAGTTGCTCTTAAATAACGTTAAGGTATCTTAGACACGCGAGCCTCGTATGAAGTGACCGTTAAATGTGAAATGGAAAATTGGAATATCCCAATTTTAATGGGGGAGAGTGTAACGGGGTTACACGTACCTTTGTATGAAAGGGCGGGTCACACAAGATGGTGCCGCCGTACATAGGTGTGTATTACACAAGTTATTGTAACCACACCGTGGTGTGGCCACACCATAACAAGAAGCCACCACATGGCAGGAATGCCAGTGGTAATGCATATTACTATATTAATAAGGTTTTGCTATACTAAAGAGGTATTACTTAATTTGGAACACGGTTTTAGATATTGGCGGCTCTTCTGCAACTAAAACAATTAAATACAGTTTCGATTTAGAACAGAGATGTTCGCTTGCCTTGGTTAAGGTTTTAGTACTTGGAGGTAGCGAATCGCAATCCGCCACACTCGTACTGGTTCTTGGAAAGAACGTAAGGTCGGTAACCTTAGCTTAGCTTCCTCTAAGCAAAGAGCTACGGCAGCCCTCTTGTTACGGTGTAGCACACCACTGTATGGCTACACTAACTTGTGTAATACCCACCTATGTACGGTAACACCATCTGGTGTGACCCACCCTTTCATATAAGGGTACGTTTAACCCCATTATAACGTATCATGCATCCCCTACAGCTGAGCTATCAAAGTTTACCCTTTTCTTTAAAGCGACAGCTTTATTATAAGACGTTGAGAGTACCTCAAGCCAGGTGTTCACTGGCGCAACTCAGAGAGTGCATTCAGAATCTGGCCAATTGCAGTATCGACAGCACACCGAGTCACTTGAAGCGAGTCGACGTGCCACCAAAACAAAGATGGCTTGCAAGAGCCGACCATGTGGGTCTCCTCCGCCGACATGCTCGATAATTAAGAGTGATGCTTCTCCACGTGGAAAAGTTAGTAATCGGCGGGCTTACCCGGACGATTTAGTATCAGGCGATATAAAAGTAGACTCTAGCTCAAGAAATCATGCCAATTTGAGATCGCTCTTCAGCATGACTGCCGTGTCGCGATTTTAGCTTACAAAGGAATCATTCTCGGTCTAAATCTTATCAGGAGGGAAGAAAAAAGGGTCGCTTAGCTCGCGTCACCCCCTTTTAGCGAGTAAAGACCGACACTATTGAAATTTTCGAATGCTGTTCCAAGCGCAGACGGCACTCCGGAGTAGATATGACGTGCGAGGTCGAAAAGCGTTCACAGATAAACTTTTGAGCGCTCGTTTTGCCCTCTGTTTCATAGGAAGGCCCGCCCGCATAGTGTATGAAGACTTCGACGCGGTGTTTGATCAAAATACGATGGTACAATTCCATCATCAAGACGTGATAGAGTTCTCAAATGTCGTTGCGACTCTATCGATTGTCAACGGGCAAGGTGGCTTCTCTAAACAAGGCGTACCCCGTTGGTGACCAGTTGGAAGTCGTCGTGAGTGCCGCGGCTGGATATTTTCTCGAAGCCATCAAGCACGGAGTATTAAGTAGAAAAACGGAGCCTAAAAGACAACATTTCTAAGTGAGTGGATCTGCCATGTTTTTTTATGTGAGGGCAGAGCCGTATTTCAGAGACATTTTAATCATTCTTATTTTAGATTACCTATCTTTTCACGTAGTATGGCTCTTGACCTTCGGCCAAGAATATCGCACATTTCTCAGAAGCTTGACGCGCCTTTTGCTAACCATGAGGGAATGGGCTTCTGAAGCTTGTTTATTCCGAATAACAGATCTGCAAGTATTGCAGTATAACTCCAAGCGCAGTGGGTGCTCACAGAGCTCAAGTTTGCGCAATGTCTGACAACAACAAAAGAAGTATGAGCCTCATCGCGGTCCACATCGCAGTGTGGGCTCAACTTTACGTACGTAGACTGGTAAGAAGGCTAACGATCCATTTATCTCGCGGACCTCTTTCTTACGGAACCCTGTCAGTCTTATCCACATCAGTAGTGAGCAACGATACTTCATAACGGCGCTCTAAGTTTGTGCAATTAATTCGCTTCACTTGTGTATCGATAGCATATATGGTATAATGTGCGAGCGCATTATTCAAAAAATGTGAGTTGTATTATTTCTAGACTTATTTGGTCAACTCCTACGCAGCTACACCAACAAAAGTTGGACTTTCATCTTAGACTTTACGAATGCAAAATGCGCACTTTACTTCGGCCACCACCCACTACACATTGCAGAATCTGTGTGTCATATGTTGAGTCGCCAAAGCGAAAGAAGATCAGACCCATGACTATTGATGAAGTGTTTGCAACGAGGATACGTATACTATGCACAAAGGAAGTGCCAACGCAAACAGCTCGCGTATAAGCCACATAGTGGCTGTGTTCGTACACTTCACTCAGGAGCGGACCCAAGAGCCTGTAGAGTAACTGCTCTGTTACAAAAGTGACATTAATTTAAAATTTATCATATTGTAACGTATGATATCGCTTAACGTGAAGCTTACAGCCCACGTATTCCATAGAAAGAAGTCCCATCTTACAAATTCACATTTACATAAATCTCGTACAATTGGTGTATGTACACAATAATATTCAGTATGATTGTGCAGTGTACCAGTGTTCTGGTACACTGTTTCGACAGCCAATCGTTCAGAATTCCACCCCTCACCATTTTGTTCGGACAGAAATGGCTCAAGACTTGGCTGCAATGCGTTCGTTGCCTGAACGTATCTCGTTTCCTGATGAAGAATTAAAGATTTTAAATCTTTGGGAAAGTATTAATGCTTTTCATAAATCCCTTGAACTATCGAAAGACCGTAAACCATTTACATTTTACGATGGTCCACCTTTTGCTACGGGTTTGCCACATCATGGACATATTTTAGCTGGCACGATTAAAGACACAGTCACTCGTTATGCTCATCAAACGGGTCATTATGTAGAACGTCGCTTTGGATGGGATTGTCATGGACTTCCGGTTGAAAATGAAATTAATAAAAAATTGGGTGTAAGTACAAAGGAACAAGTGTTTGAAATGGGCATTGACAAGTACAATGCGGAGTGTCGTAGCATTGTACAGCGGTATACAAATGAATGGGAACGTGTTGTTAAGCGTATTGGTCGTTGGATTGATTGTGAGAATGATTATAAGACGATGGAACCATGGTACATGGAATCAGTTTGGAATGTCTTTCGTACTATTTTTGATAAGGATCTAATTTATCGAGGGTACAAAATTCTACCTTACTCGACAGCTTGTACTACATCACTTTCGAACTTTGAAGCGAATTTAGATTATCGTGATACCCCGGATCCATCTGTAGTTGTGACTTTTCCATTACTTGATGAACCAGACGTTGCTTTATTAGCTTGGACTACGACTCCATGGACATTACCATCAAATTTAGCATTATGTGTGAATGAATCATTAGATTATGTCAAAATTAAGGATTTGAAAACAAACAAAATGTACGTATTAGGTGAAACGCGATTATGTCAAGTGTACCCCAAGATGACGAAAAAGGGTTACAAAGGTGGAGACTTTGAAATTTTAGACAAAATGAAAGGATCGACTCTTGTGGGAAAGAAGTATGTGCCATTATTTGAATGTTATCAAGATTGGCCTAATGCATTTCGTGTTCTTGGTGATAATTACGTCTCGGATTCAAATGGAACTGGAATTGTTCATCAAGCTCCTACTTTTGGTGAAGATGATTATCGAGTTTGTGTTCGTGAAGGTGTAACTGATAAATTTACATTACCAGATCCACTTGATGACAATGGCATTTTTACTGAGATTGTTCCACTTGTTCAAGGACTTTATGTGAAAAAAGCTGATGATGTGATTTGTCAGGATCTTAAAGCACGTGGTCGTCTTGTTTCAAAAGGAACTGAGGTACATAGTTATCCATTTTGCTATCGATCAGGTACACCATTGATCTACCGTGCTATTCCTGGATGGTTTGTTAATGTTGAACGTATTCGTGATCGGATTGTCGCGAATAATAAATTGACATATTGGGTACCAAGTTTTGTACAAGAGAAACGCTTTCATAATTGGTTAGTTGATGGCAAAGATTGGAATATTTCTCGTGGTCGTTTTTGGGGTACTCCTCTTCCATTATGGGTAAGTGATGATTATGAAGAAGTTGTTTGTGTGGGATCGATAGCAGAACTTGAAACACTTACAGGTGAAAAAGTAACAGATTTACATCGTGAGTTTATTGATCATTTAACAATTCCATCAAAAAAAGGAAAAGGAATATTACATCGAGTTCCAGAAGTTTTTGATTGTTGGTTTGAAAGTGGTTCAATGCCATATGCACAACAACATTATCCGTTTGAAAATCAATTGAAATTTGAAAAGACCTTTCCAGCTGATTTTGTAGCAGAAGGACTTGATCAAACACGTGGATGGTTTTATACTTTAATGGTTTTATCTACTGCACTTTTTGATAAACCAGCATTTCAAAATCTTATTGTCAATGGTCTTGTACTTGCTGAAGATGGTCGAAAGATGAGTAAAAGTTTAAAAAACTTTACAGATCCAGAAGAAATTTTACAACAATATGGAGCTGATGCACTTCGTTTGTATTTGATTAATTCACCAGTTGTACGGGCTGAACCTTTAAAGTTTCAACCTTTGGGTGTTTTTGGTGTCATTCGAGAGATTTTCTTACCTTGGTTTAATTCTGCACGGTTCTTTGCTCAACAAGCTACACGTTTACAACTAGAGACTGGAATATCGTTCGTGCCTGATCGAGAATCTGCTTTAGCATCAACAAATGTAATGGATTCCTGGATTCTTGCTGCTCTTCATAATCTCATTAAATTTGTACATGAAGAAATGAAAGCTTATCGTCTTTATACGGTCGTACCACGTCTTGTGAACTTTATTGAACAACTCACAAATTGGTATGTGCGTTTGAATCGTCCTCGTTTAAAAGGAAGTGCTGGTAGTACTGAAGCTGCAATTGCTCTTTCGACATTATATGAAGTTGAGTACAATCTTGCAAAGCTTATGGCACCTTTCACTCCATTCTTTACAGAGTATATGTATCAATTTCTTCGTCAATTCCATCCCAATGTTGTGACATCAAGTGGTCAAGATTTCGCAGAAGATGTCGATGGAGTATCGTTAAGTATTCATTTTCTTATGCTTCCTGACTTTGATGCACGTCGTGTGGATAATGATGTTGAAGTATTGATGAAGAATTTGCAATGTGTGATTGAAATGGGTCGAATTGTACGTGAGCGTCGTATGATTTCATTAAAAAATCCTGTGAAGAAAGTTATTGTCGTTTCGAATCAACAAGAAACACTCGACGGTCTCTCTCGTCTTCAAACGTACCTTCATGATGAGTTAAATATGCGAGATCTTGAATTCTCGACTGATGAAAAGAAATGGTGTGTACTTAAAGCAGAAACAAATAGTCGTGTTCTTGGTCGACGATTGGGTAAAGCTTTAGCAAGTGTGAAGACACAAGTTGCTCAAATGACACACGATGACGTTGCTGCGTATTTGTCGAGTAGATGTGTTACAATTGATGGACATGTGTTAAAGGGTGAAGATTTGATAGTTAAAAGAGATTTTCAAGGTGATTCGACAATCTTTGAAGCCAATGTATCATCGGAAGGAAATCTTATGGTGATTATTGATACACGAGAAGATGAAGAGCTGAAGATGCAAGGATGTGCACGGGAAGTTATTACACGCGTTCAGAAATTACGTAAGAAAGCAGGTCTTGTTGTTCAGGACAAGATTCATGTATTTTATCAAGAACAAGGAAGTGAAAAGGGCCCGATTACCACAGCAATTCAAACGTTTCAAACTATGATTGCATCAGCATTAGGAACGACACCTGTTCCACTATCGCTTCAGCCTCCATACAGTGTGACAATTGTATCGGAAGAAGCACAATTTGCAGATTCTAGCATTATGTTTGTCGTCGCTCGTCCTGCTGTCTTTTTTGCTTCAACGGATGTATTAGCAAAGCATGAATCGATCATCTCAATTGAAGAATTGAAAGCTTACGTGAGTTCGATGAGATTTCAAGATGTTCAAGCTGCGTTGGAGTCGATTGATGGTTCGCTTACTGTACGAACGGTAAAAGGAGAGACAACATTACAAGGTAATGTGGACGTGTTTCTAGATGCAATGGCATTAGCTAAAGCATTGTAGAAGCCAGAATTTGTCGTATGAAACGATTTCATAGTCTACGAATAACAACAAACAGTAGATTGTTTTTTCTTGAAAATTGATTGATCATTTCTTAACTCGATAACGTTTAATGTCAAGTATATCACTGCATGTTTAATAATCAGCATATGCATCAGTGTCTGCAGGTTCAGGCACGTTTACATTTGGATTGAAACGATGCGAAAGCCAATCAAATGAAACCAACACAATTCCAAATTGTGGAGCGATGCGACTCACACGTGGTCCCCATCCTGCAAATAAAGCACGAACACCACCTTGAGCTAAAACGTGTTGTAACGTATTTCGAAAGCCTTGAATTGGTGCATTTCGGGATTGCATGCGTGTCTTTATAAGATCAAGTGGTGTCGAGAAGAAAGCTGCAGGAATTCCTGCAGTTGAAGCAGCAATCATTGACGAAACAAGTGACGAATTATCATGTACACCCATTTTTGTCTTAGCCATATCGTAGAGTGTAAAATAAGTTGACGCAAACATAACATCACGAGCAAGACAAGCTGTATATCCTTTATAAAGACCTTGAATTCCAAGTTCTTGAATCACTTGAAAAGGTTTTAACGTACTCTCAAGTTGTAAACGTACTTTAATTACTTCCACTGGATTCATCACAATCGATTGCATGATACCAGATGTAGCAGCAGAGATCAAAGATGCTTGAAATTCATGAGGTTTGTCAAAAAAACTCTTTACAAAGTCACGAGTAGCAAGAGAAACAGCTTTATCTGGAATTGTTCCACAAAGTTGAGGACCTAATCCTTTATAAAACGAGCGAAATCCTTCATTCCGTAAGATCGTTGTAAGTGTATTCATTGCACTTGTTGTCTTGACAGTATTTTGCATTCGTGTCTTAATCACATCAATTGGATACACCGCAATAATTCCACCCATTCCTGCTGTTGCACCAATCCACATAGTTTGAAAGACATTTTGTTCATGTACACGTGGAATGTTACGAGTAGGTTGAAAGAACTCAGGAGTCTCGTCACGATACGTGGAATCCATGACGTTTGAGTGGGAGGAAGTGAATTAAAGAGTGACGTTGATTCTCGTCCTCTACAAACGTCACAAGACTGTGTGACGACGTCACTGGATAGAAACAAAAACGGTGTTTAGACCCATTTTTATAAGAATTAGGTTCAAGGATTTTAAAAGGTTGACATATTTTTCATTTTTTAGAATATTATTTGGAGTACTCATTTTAAATGTATCAAAACATTTAAATGCAGTTTAGATTTTGAGATTCGGTAGTCAAATTTGCATCCAATCATGTCTGATTATGTTGACAGTGTCTGATACTTGCAGACAGGTCAGACACCAGATTGGCGATCGCAACAGTTCAGTGCCATAGTAGCCCTTAACTTACTAACACTTGTGTGCAACGAGAACCGGATAGTACTGGATTAGTACGTGTGGCAATTCGTGCGGCAAAATTAACTGAAAAGCAATACCATATTGCAATTACTACTGCATGTATATAAGCTAAAATTGGGCTAGCTAATCAATCTGTATATAAATAATTACGTATATTCTTATGTGACCATTATTTTCTGATCTTGCAAATAGTATTATATGTTTACCAAATTAGCATTTAGTAACTTTCAGCCATTACCACTACATCTACTGACGCGTATATATATCAATTCGGTCCAAGCATATTGGCAGTATGGGCGCGACTGACTCATCTCAAGGCCTCTTCGTGCAGATGCTCATCATTTCTCCTGTGATCTCGTGGATATTAAAGCCAGGACGTTTTTCAAAGCGTCGAGGTTTCTTTTACGCCGTCGCCTTCCTCGTTGCCATCGCTGTCGCCACTGTGGTGCGTTCGACCACTTGAAGACTTTCAACTGTTACTAATCGTCTGCTGACATATTTGTAGGGTATGGATCTATATGAGCAAGAAGGAAATTTGTATCACGTTGTAGGCGTTAATCGTGATGCCTCCTATGCGGACATTAAACGTGCCTTCCGTCAGCGTTCCGTGGAACTTCATCCGGATAAAAATCCATCACCCTCTGCCGTCGAAGAATTTAATCGTCTTCGATTAGCGTTTGACGTAAATTCAATCATAATGTGCAATTGATGATTAAGGCTGATGTTTTATGGTATGCAGATTTTAGGAGATGCCCATAAACGCCCATTGTACGATTTATTCGGTGAAAATGCTGTGGAGAAGGACCTTTGGTCACTCCAGATTGAGACTCTTGCAGGTTCGCTGACATATTACGCTCTTTGGGCTGTGATCACGTTCATAACGACACTAAGTGACAAGGCTCGATTAGCGCGTTCGTGGTCGTTGGCTGCGTGTGTAGTCTGTTTTATCATGGAGCTTAATTTTTACTACGGTGGTGGGCGTTTGACCCCATCTTTATTCCCAATGATGACGGTACATGACTTCATAGCCATGATGCACTCACTTTTTCCACCATTTCTTAACGGATGCCGTGCAATTGGCGAGTACTTTCATACCGATTTGGCTCAAAAGAACTTTGAGCTTGGCCTTGAGTTACTGAAGAGCAACCAAGTGCGTAGACGAATGCATTGTTTGACATGCTTATGGTAGATTTTAACCACATTAATTGTTGCAATACAACAGGCAATTTTATTGAACATGCGCCAGCTTCATGGAGAAGTGGCGTCACTGTCTAGACGTCGTCCAGAAGTCGTTAAGGGTGATACAGTTCCTGCTGCTGCAAAGAAGCGTTTAAAAATGGAGAAACATCCGGCTTCAGTCGATCATCTTATTGAAGATGCAGATACTGCAAAAAAACTACTAGAACTCTCGATTCCAAAGTCCGAAGTGCAGGAGGAAAGCGGCGGTTTTGGTATTCCTCGATGGGTCTGGGGACTTGGCGTCTACTTTGCACTCAACTACTTTTTCGACTGATAGAGCTTGTCTTTTAATAAAGAGAGTACACGTGAATGTACAGACAATGATTGTAAGATTTCATTATTTGGATTTTGCTTGATAAACAATAACATCTATATCAAACTAATTGCACACTTATTGCGTGACGTATACATATCTCATATTTGATTGTAGAGACTCGCTTCATTTGTTATGTCTGTCAAACAATGGTGACTATATATACGCTATATAATTTGCTTTAGATAGCTCAGTAATAAGTAATGTAGGTTTTCAATAGCTTGCATGTGTTAAATAGCCATCATTAAGCGTGTCTGTAATTCGTCGATCGAGCTTGCCACTCTTTGGTGCATTGAGAAGCAAAGTTTTCTAACAACAATGTCGTCTATTACCCAACGTATCAAGGATGACAATATTGAATCTAGCTTTGAATTGATGACCAGCGTAAAATACCGTCTCGTTCACAAGACGTAATCTGCTACAAGACCCCAGATCATAGATTCTGACTACATATAACCTAATCCTGTAGCTGGCCCCTTGACGTGATCAAAAGCTTTTCATAGCAGGACTACTTCTGACGTAGTGAAATTATAGTTACAACTTGTCAGTAAAGACCTCTTTTTCTCGCTATTGGTAATGTTTGGTAGATCATCCAGCAAGAAATTTGTAGTTGAAGTGGTGGGTACGACTGATCCAACATGACAGAAATCTGTTCATAAACAGAAAATCCATCTGACTTACTGCCATTTCTTTGCTTCCAGACGGTGAACACAAAAGTACAAGTTGTTGCTTTAGTTTTCGCGTGGACCAAGTTTTGACTGATCCCAACAGACTGCACGAGCAATCGACCAGTTGGAAAGCCTCGGTCGCTCCTTTCCTTCTTTTTGGGCCATTAAGGTACCGCCAGAAAGACAAGACATACCCGACTTTATTGTAAGACCTGCACCTATCGTCTAGCACTTTTGAATCAACCAGACACAAGCGATATAATGGGACTACGCGATTCAACCCGAAAGCTTCTGCGTAAGCTCACCATGCGCGACAGGAAGCAGGAAGAAGTTGAGCAGCTGCAGCCCGTAGCACTTGCAGGCGCTAGTAAGCGCTCGACCACCCGTTCAGAACTTTGCAGCTCTTTTGCCTCAACAGTCGTGAGCCGCGAAGAGCTCGAAGGCCGACGAAAGGCTTTTAGCGAACACAGTGCGGATTGGCAGCAATGTGGCATGTGTACACGCAGCTTTGTGGCTGGAACCAGTCGCTATACGGGCTTTTGTTCGCTCGACTGCAAGTCGGCAGCACGGTACAGTCAATCGGCACGTTTATTTTCCGGACGCTATCGCAACGCATAAACAAAGAGAGAGATTTTAACTAGCAAGAATCACTTTATAAACTTGCAAGTTACAGAGCATGCACGATGGAAGCAGCAGAATGAGTCTATGTACTGTAGTCATTGTAGTCGTATGTTGTCTGTGCGGTGTCTACACCACAAGCAAATGAAGCTATAGCAGCTACTGCACTTTCCTTTGTTTTGTTCTTTCCTACCTCAAAATCTATTTGCTAATCTATGGCTGATGGCCAATCGGCCAGACATTATGCTCTGCGTTGATTGCTTCGTCGTCATCCAAGTCGCTGTCATCGTCGATACTAGTCATGTAAGTCATTTCAAGCACTGGCACCACTTTCAACCTCGTTTTCACTACAGAACTATCACCGTCATCTTCTTCGTCACTAGCCTTGTTGCTCCAATCTCCTTTCAATTTTTTCCAGATATTGACGTCCGACAAAGTGGACATAAGGTGTTGCTGTAACACGAGCACCACAAAGTTTATACAAATTGCACAAAATCTATGCTACCCTCATCTTACGTACGAATGCCTCAAGAAGATTTTATAGCAGCTCGAATGCATGACATGACCACATGGTAGCACATTGACATGTTCAAGTGAGTCAAAAGTTGCCTTCAGTCAGAACTGCTTAGCAAATTATCCACTTATGCATCACATCAACATAGAATACCGTACATCCAGACAGATAGGACACCCGCGATGCATGGAGCCTTCGAGACACCTGTGCTTGGCCTCGAGTGAATGGGGATAACATCCGCAACACTTTGTACAATGATAGTAGTTCTCACGACCACCAACTCTGCCCATAACACTGTTACCTACATCTTTATAGCACTCAAGATTAAGCTACACACGCACCTGCAGATGCCACATTGAGCACAATGAAAAACCTTTTTCTCCCATCCTTTGTCGTCAAACAGATTGCAGATGGAACAAAAGTATACAGCCATCGTTTCATGACAACGGATGCATTTTTGAGCACACTAGGCAATATGAATCGGCAACCGTCATGAGGTCAATCAATAGGTCAAGCAAGTAAGGGACATGCTGACCGTACGGGCTGTTCAGTTTGACATAAGTTGCAGCGCATCCTCTTTATAGCAAAGCGATCAATCACATGGTCGTCACCCACCATCGTGTCGTGGCATAGCCGGCAGCCCACCCACTTCTTGCAGCACTCAGCAAGCACATAACAGCGCCGTCCATAATGCGGACATTTCCTTTCACTTGACGAAAATGTTGCCATGATGAAGAATGATTGTCTTTAATTTAGCGGAATATTATGATGGAAAAAACTTAATTTTCGTTTTAAATACTACAAAATATCGTCAATCACGAAGCAGAACAAGCAGCTAGGTCGTCAATCGGTGTCCTCAATGATCTCATCACTTGGTTCGTCTGTCACCAACAGCGTCGTGGCATATGCTCCAAGTATGGAAAAAGGTATGAAATTTTCAGGAGGAGTCGTAGCGGCAGTGCTGGCCATTCGCTATGCCGGCAGCTTGCGCTCAGCCTGCGTCCTTGGGCTGCTGTCGGGTCTATTTACACACTCGCTTTACGCGGATGTTTTACGCAAGAAACATCGTCGAATTGACAAGAGGAAAGTTGAGCAGGAAGAAAACGCGGTAACAATCAGCAGCTAACGAAAAACGTTCCTGTCAATCGTTCTGGCTTTAAATCGGACATTTTTGGGTTTTGTGGAGCCTGATTTGTAGCGACTAGAGCTGTAAAAGAGCTGTAAAAGGGTTTTGAAGCAGGTAGAGACTATGCCAGTCGGTAGGGCAGTCGTGAAGAAATGTGGTGAAGGATTCGAGTGATGGTGGTGACTTGAGCGCTCCAAAGACGTCAGACAGTAACGAAGTGCTTTGCGACGTGGAAGAGAATTGCTGGAGCACGTGAAAAACACGAAATAAACCTCGAGGGTAATGTGGAACAAACACTTCGAGTTCGTAAGAGACGCTGAAGGAGCAAGATGGATAATTGCACCAAAAAAGGAGCATGGGTAATAAAGCGACGTTGTCTGCGGTGTCTGTGTCATCCTTACAGGAGACAGACGAAAACATGTGAAACACTAGCTCTTTCAGCCTTGCTACGTCATCTGAATTGACAGAGTCTTCGAACCATAATGGAATCTGCCCAAAGTCGGCACGGGAGATAAGGATGCTGCAAGGTTTTATCGAATCAGCGTCGACTCGATGTTGGTGTATTACTGCTGGAAGATCCAGTGCTCGCTTGAGATATGTCAAAATGTCTTCTGTTGAAGGCAAATTTGTGAATTGGATGCACAATAATGACCACACAAATTTTCTCCATGGTACAGCTTTGTGAGTGGTAGACTGCTGAACTGTGACTGCTGTTGCTGCAATAATATCCACGTCTCTCCAACGCATCGGAAAAGCTTCCTTTTTCGCAACTTCAAGAACTAATTTAATGAATTCGTCATTTGCGATGTTTGATCCAATAAAAAATTGCGATACAATTGCATTTGAATGCTCCCATTCAATACAAGCGCTCGCTAAAGCATGAAGCTGAGCCAATGTGATAAAATTTCTCACTTGAGCGTGTGGCAAGCAACTCGCGATGCCAGGTGATGACAAAAAGTTAGAGCTTTGGATGTTCCAGACGGCATGTCCATGCATTCTCATGCTTGCCATTGCCTCGGCGATTGCCTCGTCCTTCGTGTGAATATCCAATTCAACAACTTGCTGTAAACATTGGACATGAACCGCATATAGCTGCTGAACTCTTTGATTTAAATATTCAGCGAATCGAAATAGCAGCGTTACATGTTGAAGCATTTTCGTTATCTCCTGCGTTGCCACATTAGCTTCGCTCAATGTGTATTGCGAAGCAGTAGTTTCATTAACCAAATGGACCTCTGACGCCACTTCAGTAAGGAACGTCATTACTTTCTTTCCGACCTCATCGCAATCGGCGTTCTTTCCACCTAAATTGATGGCAGCAGCCATCGCGTCTTGCATAACCTTTTCTGCTAACACTACAAAATGGCCAGACTTATCCGGACTAGCACCGAGAAACGGTATACGGTCGTACAGCTGCGTGCGAAGTATCTGCATTATTTGCTGGAAGAAGTCTTTTAACAAATGGCAGATTAATGGCAAGCTGTGATACACGATATCTACAGCTCGAAAGATATCCGGAGACGGATCTTGAGCAAAAGTATGGACGAACTCGTTGCCAATCACACGGCTGACGTCTGCAATGTCCCCCAGAGCAACTTCGAGCTTTGTCAAAATTTGCTAATGAATTCTGTCAGATACTGAGAGCGCATAAAACTTTCGCTTGACATACCTCTCGAATCTTTTGCTTGGACAAACCGGTGCAAGCCTTTAAGTCTTTCGAGGCTTTGTCTACTAGATTTTGATAGGATCTAGTTTCATTAGATATTTTTTTTTCTAGTGTTTGGGTTGTACTGACAACCTGTCTCGAAATATTTTCGATAGCTGATTGTATCGTTGCCATCGGCTCACGAAGTTTTTTATATAGACTCTCTTTTAACTGTTGATCAAATATAATTATCAGTACCAGTCCTCATTCGTCTGAAGCTCTTACCTTCTGTAGCCCCTCAGAAAGATACAAGAAGGCATCACTATCAATTTCAATCTCTTTCGAGGCTTTTGACCACACGAGTCGGTCTATCAGATCCATTGACTCGCGTCTCTTTAGACGTGCCTCCTTCACTAGCTGGGGTAAGAAATCAACCGCACACACGATTCTTTCTGAAGTCGGTAAATGTGATGCTTGCGCGTATATGTCGATACACAAATGAATCAGCTCGGCGACGACGTCGCGATGCAGCTCAACTCGCCGAATCTGGATGTGCCGAGTTGTTTCACTCCAAAATAATTCAAGTTTTGCTTGTTGCTCTTGAAAGCGAATCCGATTCTCCTCATCAAGAGCGAGTTTCCGCTGAGTTTCAATAGAAGTGATAGACGATGATGTTGATTTATCTACTAAGCCTGATAAAGAAGCTGAACCCTCCACCGTGATATCATCATCAGCAGGCTCAACTACTGGGACGGGATCAGGAGATATTGAGATTACGCAGTTCCACGGAGAAACACTGGCAGGAATGGTGGTGTCATCTGAAAGGTTTGAGCCTGGAGTCAGTGTTTTAAGAACTGCAGCGTTTGTAAGATCACCCTCATTTGTGAGCAAAATTGCTAGCAGCGCTTTTTCCAGAAGCTTAGCTTCGACCAGAGTTCTGTAACAAAAGCGAGTCAATCACTCGCAAACCTTTTAAGCGACAAAATTCTTTACCTCGGAAAATTGTGAAGCATGCATCCATTCTGTTGTAACTTTGATGTATCTTGTAATGAAGCTTGTTGGCGACACAACGACACAGCTTTAGCCATAATTTCTACAGCCAAAGTGTCGGGAAGGGGTGTGTTCTTTTGTTGAAAAGCTAAAATTTTCGGACCAAATGCGCCAAGCTCCCGCTACATACATTTATATAACATGTTAAAGTAGCAATATCTTGATACTTCAATTAGCATATCGTACCTCGCGTTCACCCAAAGATGAAATTTGATCTCCAAACTTCTGAGGGTCATAACTTGACTTCACGCATTCGTCAACAAGAGATTCAAATTGCAAAAAAAACACGTGGTGTTCCATCGAAATACGTTTTGCTAGTTCAAAACCACTATCATCCTCAGTAAAAATGCTTAGCAAAATGAAGGACAGAGGACAATGCCACGATGTGTTCAAATCTGTCATCGGGCTAGGCCAGATCTCAATAACCGATTGAACGTCAGAGTCTATGTCGTATGTGCTAAGTTTGGACTCGAGCAGAAGCGGAGTCCATACTCCTGAACATGACAAAAAGCTTCGTATCGCCTCTTCTAGATCGTAAAGCATTTCTACTCCACCCTGATCAAAAGGTGTTGAAGAGGTTCTCAAATATTTCTGCTCTTTTTTCAAGTTGTCAATCGCAAATGTTTCACTGTTGTTTTCAACACATGTCATCTTCTGGGCTAATTGAAGCATAAAATTCATATTCACAGACTCACCCGGGTAATACAATATCGATCGCCAGTAAAACTAAATCATCTACTACATCAGCGCATACATTCCAGGCGCGAAGCCTCTCCTTCTTTCGTTTCGTATCACGAAGCTCGAGTAATACCTTCATGTCATCTTCTCGCTTTGTACTTCCAGACTCTCGCAACCGAACATAGTTAACCTCTAGCTCTGCCCGTTTCACTTCAAGATATCTTTCCCGTGGATTCATCATGTGATTATCTGCACCTGGAATCTCAATTTTAGACTTGAATCGTATGTCTGCATTATCCTGATCCGAATTTGTCTCACAGAGCAGCTGTTCGAAATAATCGATCCCAGTCAACTGAAACATAACAAGTTTTATCAAGATCCGATGTGATCATTTTTTGAAATGCAACAGATACCTTTTTCTTATCTAACAACGCTTTAGATTGCCGCATGCGCTGATCTTTTTCTGCTACCAGTTGTTCTCTGCGTCGTTTACGTAGCTCTTTCATCATTTCCAAGTTATTTGATGGACGAAAATCAAGATTTTCAACTCTTTTTTCAAGACCTCGAAAGTGTGCAACCGCCCCGGCATCACTGACGGTGATCGCTCGAAGACTTTCGTCAGTACCGCCAAAAGAAATGCCAAGCCTATCCATGTTCCTTTCAAAGTCCAGAATCCCTTGAATTGAATCTTGCTCGCTCTCAATCAGCTTCTTTTTCTCCAACAGCTGACTTCGAGCTTCTAATGTCATTTCAAGCCGCAAATTGTCCCGTTCTACAGCTAGAAAATGATGCTGGGGTGGTCGAATCATTGATCAGAAACGATTAATTGGACATTTGCAATTGATATATAGTCTGTGCTATTACTCACCCGTGATTCTTTCCACTTTGCTTGATGCTCTCGATCCAAATCGCGCCTATAGTCAGCTACTTCTCGCATGTGAACACGGGCTGCAGCATATTCTGCCGCAAGAGCCGCACTCTTGTCAACTCTGGTCTTTTCTTGCAACTACGACAAGATTTCACAAGACACAATTTGAAATCAAACGGATCTCAACCACTGATCAGTTCGTTCTTACATTATGCCATTCATTTTCGGCTCGCCATTGAGTTTTTTGAAATTTGCGCAGATGAATAGCCATGTCAACGCCTTTGTAAAAGCAAATCTTTGTTGGGTGATATTTGTTAGCCGTCTCCTTTAAGAAACGCTCATCCAAATCACGCAGTGAAAAATCTTCGTTTGTTGCTTTCTGTGTATCTCCAGTCGACGGCCTTAATGCCTTCACTTTGACTTTTTGATTGATTGGACTGCATGCTGATCTTTGATTAATAAACTTCTTCAAACGCAAAAAAAATTGCAGCACAGCAGATCGATCTTCCATCATGATGGCGCGTTGAGTGTCTATGGGAAACGGAAAATCGTGGGCGTCAAGATTCTCACCCAGAAGTTCCATGTTGTGATTTTTGGCTGCCGTAGTTGAAAAATTCCTATATTTTTTAAGCTGGGGCTCCAAGCCGTGGAGATGTAGCACTTCTGCAATGAGATATCCATTGCTAGCATCTTTTTCGATCACATCTACCCTTTTGTGCAGTTTAAGCTCATCATTCAGCCATTGCAGTAGCAAGGCAGTCATGACCACCGGAATAAATGAGCTATTAGCTGAATTCTAACCGACGGCTTGCCCAGAAATACTCATTGGAAAGTTTTCAGCGCAAACTTTCTCGATGACATATATTTTATTTATTTATATATCTTGAGATTTAAGTGTTATAAGTACATCGATTAACCATGCGGTTAATACAATCGAGCTTCTGGCGACGCGGCATGGGAGGACGCCGAGTCCAAGCAGTCAGCTGCATTATACGCTGCTCTAGCAATGAGTCGTCCCATAACAATGTGTCAAGCGAGAAGCTGTACCAGAGTCAAATCCACAATGCGACACAATATTAGAAAGCCAGATATACAATAAAAATACTACCAACGGACCCGTTTGGCCCGTTTTCTTTAAAAGTCAGAGCGGTCTCTGGAGTATTATAAGCACGGCAGTGCCCACGACGCAGTGGCACATAACCTGCGTACAGATACCTGTCACTCACCATCAAATCTTTTCAGCATACAGAATTACTTTTCAACCTTCCGGAGGAAGTGGTGGATCTCCGATGTTTGAAACCACAACAATTTCCCGGTCGGGATAGAACTCGCTCCATTTATTACTGGTGCAGAATCTCACTCCAGCACTCGTAATGTCCCGACTTAGCTGTGGGCGGTGTATTCCTGAACTTATCTGCTCACTGCTGAGTGCAAGCGATTTCCCCATGCTTTCTTGTCGTTCAATCTGAGTTTCCGTCCTCAACGGTGATTGCGTCAAACTCAAAGTCTCCACTTGGCTCTGCATTTCCTGGCTCTACAAATATAAAGCAGCCGATTATATCCAGTCGCTAATAACATATTGCAGCGAGAGAGCCCTCATTCATGCTGTACTAATAAACCCCATTGCTTGGCACATATTGCAGCATACAACACGCTACGCACCATCGATACGCCGTCGTTCGATCGTGCCATTCGTCCCGCTCTTCTTTCTGCAAAAATCGTGAAATTTTACGTGGTACACATTGACCAATCAGATACAGTTCTCGGCAAAAACGTTGTATTGAAGCCATGGATGTGTCAGCGCCTCGCTTGCCGATGGACGATGTGCTGGATCAATCTGCAGTAATCCGCGTAGAAATTCTACAAATTCAGTATCTTTTGTGTGTAAGACTTGATCGATAGATGGAAGAAGCAAATTAGCAGCTAACACGCCGTTGCCTAAGTGGTCCAAGGTAAATAGTCCAGTGTCTATCAATTGACGCTGCAGATTGTTGCGACCTGCTAGAAGAGAAGCAGGAATAGGACCTAAAGCATTATATCACACATGTGTGAGCAACTTGTACAACAAAGTGAATTTGTGCTTTACACGTACCTATTGTTGCTAAGATACGAGCTAGCAAAGTCTGTTCTGAGTCATTACGAAACAGAACCTCGCCAGTAAATAATTCGGCAATGACGCACCCAAGCGACCATAGATCGATCTTTGTGCCATACATAAGACCCAAAACTACCTGCAATCAATACATAGATCAGACAATCGTCAAACAAATGAAGTAAATGTACGACGAACACACCTCAGGGGCTCGATACGAACGGGACTGCACATAGGACGTGAGCTCATCAGTAGTGAAGCAAGCCGACCCAAAATCGATCACCTTGACAGTACATGCGCTAAAGTTTTGTATAAGGATGTTTTCGGGCTTGAGATCGCAATGTACAAGTCCCAGTGAGTGCAGTGTATCGAGTGCCTCAAGCACTTCGATGGTGATCTTTTTGAGGCGAGGAATGCTAAAAAAGTTGACGACACCGCGTTGCAACAGCAAGCGCGAGAACTCGTACAAATTGTCACGAAGAAGCTGTGAAAAAAAATTCAGCATACTGAAAGCAATTGAAATATTGAAAGTCAACCTACGCACCTCTGTCACAATTATTAAATGCTCACGAAAATATAGTGCATCCAAGAGACGTACAAGATGCCTCTCATCCACCTTGCAATTGCGATCAATATACTCCAGTACGCGTATCTCGTCAAGACCCTGATCAAAAAACTCTTTGTTGTTCTTGATGATTTTGAGACATACTGATTGATCAGTCGTTGTATCAATGCATTTGTAGGTCCGACTAAATACTGCTTCACCAATAGCCAATTCGACCTAAATTAAACCAAATCATACCCCACAATTAATAAGCTCTACAATTGATAAGAATGTGTGGCCACAAACCCTATATCGACCACCAATTAAAGCTCCGGGACGTGGTCGCCAATCCTGGTTCGGCTCAAATCCTGTGCGATTCTTTTCACAAATGACTCGAAGCTGCATCACTTCGTACTCTTTAAGTTCATCATCTTCATTGCTTCCATCAAATACCTCCATATCTGCATTTTTGCAATCATGTTCACCGTCTTTTATGTCAACTGTGTGAACAGAATCTTCTTTTTGCTTGGTCTGGCCATCGAGATCATGTTGGAACGTAGTTCTACGGCCCCGCACTGAAGAGCTAATTTTAAATGGATTAAGCGTATCACCATCGTTTGTTACTTCTTTCTCGTTTTCTGAACCTTGTGCTTTGTCAAAATCATCGTCATCATCTTCGGCATCATCGTCGGCATCATCGTCATCCATACTGAAAAGTTTTGTCTCAGTTTCGTCTTTCAGAATTTCTTCAACATCTTCTTCATCATCTTCTTCATCATCTTCTTCACCGTCTCTTTCTACTTCATCTTGAAATGGTTCATCCTCACAGACTGAACTCACCATTTCACTGTAAACTTCGTCATCTGCTCGCAAGGTATTATCTTCCTCTTGAGTAAAAGCAAATTGACTAGGTCGTCGTGGCCAAAGAGCCGACACAGGTTCGTCGTCTATCGACGTATTTCCTGGTGAAGCTCCCATTCCAAATGACGACTGAGGCGAGTTTGTGACCCGAGCAGAACTCCCACCCTTCAAGCTCGCCTGTGCGATCCTAATTGGGTCTGAGACCAATTTATCCATTGCGGTGAAAGTCTCGTCGGTCATACAGAGCTGAGTCACGGCTTCGGCGAGGTCCAATTCGTACCCAGAGCCATAATCACTGCTACTACTGTCACTTTCATCACCTTCTTGACTGTGTTCATAATTATTATAGAGCCCAGGTATTGCCGCTGGACGTGAAAGCATAGAACTTTCTTTACTCTCACTTGAGGATCGCCGACTAAGCTTCCAGGCCTGCGCATTGTCCTCCACAATAGAATCTCCAAGCGTAACCTCTTGCTGCTGCTGTCTGACGTCAAAAAAACGATGCAGCAGCAGGTTTTCCTCCCCCATCTCTTCATGCAATGCCTGACATAGTTTTTCATTGGTATAAATCCGCTCGACAGCCTTAGGTACATTAGCGATAGACTCAAGAATCATTTCCAGTAGCTCTTTACGTTCTTGCTCTTTGCGCTTAGCTCGATCATCGCAACTAGCCATCGGTGCTGATGTCAAGCGCCGCAAGAATGACATACGCGGAAAAATATGCTCTTCAATGGGACTAGCAGATAAAACCGTGACCGACGACGAGTCCGAACGCCCCTGCGAGCTCAGCGGCGTTGTCGAAGACATCGGCAAGGTCACTAAATTAGTGACATAAAACCAACATTCTGACGATAAAAACATGCCTTTGCTGCGAAAATTGCTGCGTGTAGAAGACCTAGGCAATGTGCCTGCAAATTCAACAGCTGAGCAGCTATTTGCGTCGAACATTGATATGCAAGAGATGAGGTCACAGCGACAGCAGGCAGCTGCACTTTGTAGCGCTCCACTACATGTCATGTCAACACTAGCACGAAGGCAAAGAAGCCGGTTGTTACAAAGCAAATGTGACTATAGGATTTTTGCTCAATTATGCTTGTACGTCTGACATATTATGTAATCTTGTCTTACAGGTCTGCATTAGATACTCAAATGGAGAATCTGACGAATTGTGACCTGAAGGTCTGCAAAATTGTAGCTGGCCATGACTATGCGCTGACTACCAGCAACACTATTCGATGTTGATAGACGTGTGTAGACGCTGCCTTATCAATTACAAGAGAAGGAAAGCAAGCTTTATTTCTAGTGCGAGATCCAACGAAAGTGACCAAGTATATAGCGGCAGCCGTATCAAGGTTCAACGCAGCGATGGCAATCGAATTAGCTGCAGAAAGTCTTCATCGAGTGCATTTTCACCAATGCAAAAGAATCGATGAGCTGCAGTGCGAATTAGAATACGTGCAACAAGCTTGGAAGGTACATGCTTTGCTGCTTAAGAGTTAAAAGTGATTTGGCTATATATCCGATCTGATAGGGACCCGATGAAGCAAAGTTTCAACTGGTTGTGGTTGGGCCGCTTTGCGACCTATTTTCAGGCTTCCAAACGACATCGGGGATCACTTTGACCGGTGCGAATTGCTATGGAAAGTTGAGAATCTACGTTGAAACCTGAAACATAGCTATATGTACACCAGGTGCGGGGTTAAAGCGTATGGTGGAGCTCGCAGTCAATCGATTGCGGGCGACGACAGGTGTCTACGTCATTGTTATAGAAATTGAAGCCGAAGTCACATAGAAAAACTCGAACGTGCCTTTAGATTCCTGGGAAGTCGCGGGGAAGAGTCCAAAATCGACACTCGACATCATCGCATTCGCTTGATCGTTACAAACGTTTCGGATTATAGCATTATAATGAAAAGCTGGGAAATAAAGCCGGCGTCTTAATTCTCCTTTTTAATTCTTCACGAGCACATGTCCTATTTGTCATCGTCAGTTAAGCTTTTCACACTTGTATTGACACCAAACAGCATAAGTTGAGATACTGAGCTGCTGACAGTATGGCTATAAACGCGCTCAGCGCACGGCCGCGAGCGCCATCGGTGAGCTCCGAAATCTCTCGGTCTAATAAGGGAGCTCACGTCTCTCTCGATGTGTGTCGTGACGGTGACAACGAGGACTTTACAAACGAGACGATGACGCTGCTAAACAAAGACGGCGAGAATTCCATGGAGACGCAATCGACGCTCTTGACGAAGTCGGAAGAATTTACGCCAGATCAAAAGGAGAAGGCTGTCTCTACGGCAAAGACGCTGTATGTGGCGCCATCAGTCGTTGTCTTTTGGCTGAGCATGTGGTTTATGCAAAACATTGGAGTGACGTTCTGGAACAAGAAGGCGCTTGGAGCGTTGCGCTTGCCTGTCACGCTCACGTTCGTGCACATGATATGTAACACACTGGGTGCATTTCTTTACATATACGTGTATAAAGGCATTAAGCGCAAGCAACTCAAGTCTGACCAGAAGCAGCTTATGGTGTACTTCTCAGTTATCTTTGTGAGCAATATTATTACGGGCAACTGGAGTCTAGGCCTCGTATCAATCTCTTTCAATCAAGTGATGCGAGCACTGGTTCCTGCGGTTGTTGTCGTGCTCAGCATGCTGATACTTGGTAAAACGTACTCTCTGAGGCGAAAGCTATCGCTCATTCCAGTTGCGATTGGCGTTTACTTGGCATGTACTGGAGATAATTCATGCACTTTACTAGGCTTCATTATTACAGTTGTGGCTGTTATATTTGCTGGTTTGAAGGCTGTTTTATCAAGCAAGGTACGTAACGATTTTATGAAGTAAGGATGGCGGACCGCAATTGACTGTGCATGGTTTAATTGTATGTTTAGTTTTTAACAGGAGACTTGAAGCTCCACCCTGTGGATTTGATATTGCATCAAGCGCCTCTGTCTGCCTTTTGGTGCTTTATCGCAATGTTTCTCACCGGTGAAGCGAATACGCTTATGGATAATTGGGAAATAGTACCATCGGCTAGCTTTTGGTTTATTCTAACCGGCATGATCAGCTTTATGCTTAATGTTACCAGTTTTATGGCCAACAAGGTGACGTCTCCGGTGACGTTAACCGTATGTGGCAACATGAAACAAGTCGTTGTGATCATCATGTCTATTCTCATTAATCACGATGTGATCACAATGCAAAAGGCTATCGGAATTGTCGTTGTATCTATGGGTGGCTCAATGTACGCCTATATCTCGACAAAGGAAACAATGGGTCAGTCTACACAATCCACATCAATAAAGACGAAAGTGCAGACGCAAAAAAATGATGGGTAATGCTTCAGGTACTTGTCGTGTATACGATAGAGGCAGGAAAAACTAAATTTGATTATCAGCATTTAGGTCAATAAAGTGAATAGTACTATGTAGAAACTGACGTCTGACGTCGGCTACTCGGCAAAAATTCTTAAATGTCGTGCGTGTGCATTAGTCCATGCCGATTTATCTTGATTCGTCCTGGGAAATCCCGAATGGCATCAACATATAAAAGTCCTACCAACGCAATGAGTGCCATAAGAATAGGAAACAGGACTAGAGGCGAGGAACGATGCATTCCTGTAGGTTGGAGCTTAAAAACTTCTTGCTCAGTATCAAAGTCCAATACCTTGCTATTCGCTTCCTCCTCCTTGCTAGATGCACTTATCCACTTCGTTAAATACTCAAGGATCAATGCACGCTGCTTTTTCAGTGGCTCTGGTAGAATCGGGCCGGCGCGTAAATCGCCACAGTGGCCACATAACTCGCACTTAGCCAAGGAAGCAATTAAGTCATCCGAAAGCGTTTGAAGAACCGAAGCACGTTGCCACGGATCATCACCACCGTTCGAGAAAAAAATCTTGTGACCATATGGATGTTCCCCTCCATACAATTTCGTAATTTCATCCACACCTTCGGATGGGTTAACTACGTCACCAAATACGGATTCACACTGTTTCAAGTGATATTGAAGATCTACCATTTTCGAGCGTATGCTTTCCTGTTTAGGGGCAACCTGAAAGAATGCAAGTTGAGAGCATTTCTGCCAACGCCAAGAGCGACCGTCCCCCCAGCGAGCACGGTCTTCGGTCAAGCATTTCGTATCGTAAAAACATTCGCTGCCAAACGAAGATCCGTACATTTCTATAGTGAAGCTGGCAAAAGCGTCGACTAAGGAATCATTACGCTCAAAGGCTCCTACCATGCTGTCACACACAACATCTTTGTGGCCATACTGGACACTCATTGCTGCTGCATCTGCAATCATGTAGAAAAAGTCCGCGTCTGCTAGACTTTGAGCACCAAACAATGCCTTCACTTTCGTAGCATTGGCACTCCTAATCTCAGTCTCAAAAACTTCCGTGGTAAGGCGCAGTACATCCGCACACGATGGGCCTACTGCCAGTGCCACCTGTTCATCAAATTGATAAAATTCGTACACGGGCTGCACAACTCCCGACGATGACAACGACGCAACTGTCGAGTTCGGATAAGCAACACGGAACCATGCCGACAATGCCCCAGGATACGACCCTCCAATAGTTATCCACGAATTAGTCCCCAGAGATCTTTGAAGACTTTCCTTGAAGTGTTTGAGATCAGCGAGTGCCTGTTGCACCGTCAAAAACTGGTAATTATTAGTCGACAAGTCCCCGTTTGGTATACTTTTACCATAGAATCGATGTTCCAAGGCCAGAATCTAACAGAAAAAAACGAAAAAATGGTTTACTTAGAAAATGGACAAGAAACCACGATTTCACTCATGTGGATTCACCTTCGCGCCGAACGTCTTAGCGAGAACATGGACAAATCCAGATGGAGCGTGCTCAAGCGCACCTTCTCCCCCGATGTAGAGAATAATAGGCCCATTTGGCTTGTTCCAGAACTCATTTACCTCATAATAACGTTGCTGGAATGTGGCATTGTTCTTTGCATCAAAATGATCCACCGATTGATTGAACCAAAGATCTTTTGCCTGAAATTTGGGCATCATCTGCTGTGCTGCTTGCACAATTTGCCATAGGCGACCATGCTTGGCGTGCGTGGGGAATGTGGAGGCTGAAGCTAATGCAGATAGAGCAATGAGCAGCAGCACGACAGACAATAACTTCATGATCGACGCAGTAAGTATATCGTAGTCTTAAATATGAGTATGCTGCGGCTTCAATGTGTGACACAGTGCTGACCAAAAATATGTAGCCATCACTATTTCGCTCTATAGATCGGACATACCGGTTTCGAGCAGTGACCATCACTCCAACCCAAGTTAAAGAAGACAAAATTTGTAGCAGGCAAATTATTGAGAGTTTAATTTGCTGATAATCGAAGGGCTCCGAGCTCGGATCTGTATCCGAGATACCAGCTAGACGCTCACAGCGATTGCTGAGCACACGAGGAGGTCGTGGGCAAGCTCGGTAGGATTAAAAAAACTTAGGGAACGGACAAGAGGTCAAGATGGCGCAAAAAGGTATGCAAGAGGTCCAAGCGACACGTCGTTCTTGAGGCAAACACCAGACATCGTTATGACGCCATTGTGGCTTACCATTTCTGTAACGGGGTTACACGTACCCTGCAGAGGGACTACCGTAGCTTTGCGCTTGAGGAAGCGTTATTCAGGTCACCGACCTTTCGTTCTATACAAGAACCAATACGAGTGTAGCGGATCGCAATCCGCTACCTCCAAGTAGTTAGTACCTTAACTAAGGCTAATAAACTCTTCGGTTTAAATTCAAAACTGATTTTTATCTGCGGCAAAGCCGCCTAATTTTAAAATTTTAAATGTAAAGATTTTCCTAAATAAAATCTAAATACATGCATAACTACTGGCTACCTAACCACATACCGTATTCTTGTTTTGGTGCA